GCTCACTGCAAGCTCCGCCTCCTGGGTTCATGCCATTCTCCTGCCTCAGCTTCCCAAGTAGCTGGGACTACAGGCACCCGCCACCACGCCTGGCTAATTTTTCTGTATTTTTAGTAGAAACGGGGTTTCACCATGATAGCCAGGATGGTCTTGATCTCCTGACCTCATGATCTGCCTGCCTCGACCTCCCAAAGTGCTGGGATTACAGGCGTGCAGAAGACAGATGTTTAAGTAAATACATGGAACTGATAGAAATGCTTCATGTATCTGAAACATACTGAGAGGTAACTAAATTTAGGGAAAAAAATGATAGAATCACGAAAAGAGGAAAGATTAATATTGTAGTATATGGCTCAGCTGTCACTGTAACAGTCATAATATTGTAAATATCAAATACTGATTTTACCAAAGAGTAACAAAATTATATTGAGGGGGGAAATACAGTAAGGAAACAGTTTAAGAACTAAATCTTAATTTTTCCTTATAAGAAAGTCAATACATACTTAAAAAATAAAGAAACCACAAAAAAATAAGTATCTAGAAATTTAGAATACCAAAAGAAATGTTAAAAAAGGTAAAAGTGACTGCTTCTAGAGGGTAAGAATCTGTTTTTCATTATAAATTATGGTTTCACTTTTAACTATTAAGCAATTAAAAATATAATACAATTTTAAAGAAAGAAAGAGAATCCTACAAGTATCCACATAGAAAAGAAGGATGAAAAAAGGAAAACAAAACCAAAGGTCTCAGAATTCTCCTCTGAAAGACTGGAATTTCTAAAATTGGAATGCTCACAGTAATTACCTCCCACACGAGCTGTCCTATAATGTGGCTTTGCTTCTACTCCCTGCACATGAAGAGTTGAAATCTATTCTCCCCCTATTAGAATATGTGTGGGCCATGTGACTGCTCTGACCAAGAAGACACAGTATAAGTGATGTGGTGAGTTCTAGGTATAGCCCTTAACTAGCTTGGCAGGTTGCTGCCTCTGAGCCACAAACTGCTATGTAAGAAGTCCAGGCTACTTTGCTGAAGAGACAGGCCAAACAGAAGGGCAAGGAATTGCCAGACACATGAGTGAAAAAGACATCTTGAACATCTGGCCAGCCAAGCTTTCAGATATTTGTTACACAGCAGGAAATAACCAGAACATCACCAGCAACAAGGAGTGCTAGAACACAATGTAGCAATGTCCACAAGGTCTAGAAGGAAAGGGATATGAGCTGAGAATTCTGTACACAGTCAACACATAATTTATTCATGTGAAACAACAGAAATACTCTTCAGTAAAATCTACAGAGCTAAAAAAAACTACATGGGCAGAGTTGACACCATACACTTTCCTTACCAAACCAAAAGGAATATAAAATAATTCAACTTAAAAAAAGAGGGGAAAAAAAACAAGGAAAAGTGGAAAAAAAAGAATAAAGATAAGCCTGGTGTGATGGCTCACACCTGTAATCCCAGCACTTTGGAAGGCCAAGGTGGGAGGATCACTTGAGCCCAGCAGTTTGAGACCAGCCCTGGCAACACACTGAAACCCCATCTCTATAAAAAATAAAAAACTTAGCTAAGCATGGTGTCGCATGCCTGTTAGTCCCAGCTACTCAGGAGGCTGAGGAGGGAGGATTGCTGGAGCCTGGGAGGTCCAGGCTGCAGTGAGCCATGAACCATGGTCATTCCACTGCATTCCAGCCTAGACTACAGAGCCACACCTTGTCTCAAAAGACAAAATAATAATAAAGATAAATGGAAGATGATAATGAACTAGAAAACTTAAATTGCTAGAACTGGCTGGGCACTGTGGCTGACACCTATAATCCCCAGCACTTTGGGAGGCCGAGGCAGGCAGATCACCTGAAGTCAGGAGTTCGAGACCAGCCTGGCCAACATGGCAAAACCCCATCTCTACTAAAAATACAAAAATTAGCTGGGCAGGGTGGCAGGCGCCTATAATCCCAGCTACTCAGGAGGCTGAGGCAGGAGAATCGCTTGAACCCAGGAGGCAGAGGTTGCAGTGAGTCGAGATCATGCCATTGCAATCCAGTCTGAGTGACAGAGCAAGACTATGTCTCAAAAAAATAAAAAATAAAAATGCTAGAACTGATAAACCCAAGAGATGGCTCTTTTTGAGACTGAGACTTGCTCTGTCACCAGGGCTGGAATGCAGTGGTGAGACCATGGCTCACTGCAGCCTCAACTTCCCAGGCTCAAACAATCTTCCCAGCTCAGCCTCCCAAGTAGCTGACAGGCACATGTCAACACACGTGCCTAATGTTTTTATGCTTTGTAGAGATAGGGTCTCACTATGTTGCCCAGGCTGGTCTCAAATTCCTGGCCTCAAGAGATCCTCCCCCCTCAGCCTCCCAAAGGGCTGGGATTATAGCTGTGAGTCACCATGACCAGTCTAAGAGTTAGTTATTTAAGTAAATAAACAAGCCATTAGCTATCTGTGATAGGCAGCCTCTAAAATGGCCCCCAATGACCTGCACTTCCTGGATACTCTTGAAATCTCTCCCTTGAGTGTGGACTAGGCCCTACTCAACTGTTCCAGAATACAAATATGAAAAGTTTGCTAAATGTTTTGAAGACAGTAAAACATGATTCCAAAACTTGAGACAATACAAACTAAAAATGGACTAATTTCAAAAATGGACACTTATGTAAAATTCTAAACATAATGTTAGCAAAAACAAATACAGGAGTACATTTAAAAAAACACTGCACCATGACTAAATAAGGTTCTTCCCAGAAATATAAAGTTAATTCAATAACAAAAAATCTATTAATATAATTCACTCAATTAGTTCAATGGAAAAAAAATTTACATTCACATTATATGTGAAAAAAGCATATATAATATTAAAACCACTAAGCAGTCCTCAAAGACAGAAAGTAGAATGGTAGTTGCCAGGGCTTGAGAGCAGGGAAGACGTAGAGTTATCATTTAATGCAAGGGTCCCCAACCCTCCCTACCCACCCTGCACCCCCGCCATGGCGGCTGGCAAGCCCGCCTGAGCAAAGCCTCCTGCCAGATCAGTGGCAGCATTAGATTCTCATAAGAGTGTGAACCCTACCGTGAACTGCACATGCGAGGAAACTAGGCTGTAGCTCATTGTGAGAATCTAATGCCTGATGATGTGCGGTAGAACAGTTTTATCCCAAAACCATGCACCACCCACCCGCACCTGTCCATGGAAAAATTGTCTTCCTCGAGACTGGTCCCTGGTACCAAAAGTGTTGAGGACTGCTGGTTTAATGGGTACACAGTTTCAGTTTGGGAAGATGAAAAAGTTACGGAGATAGTTGGTGGTGATAATTACAAAACAATCTGAATGTATTTAATACCACCAAACTGTATACTTAAAAATATTAAAATGGTAAATTTTATGTTTAGTATATTTTACACAATTAAAAAAAATGTTCAAGTGTCTTGCCTATTATCCAGTCTTTCTTTTGCTAAATGAATTTGAATCAATTTATACTACTGTATGTTTTTAAAAAGCAAAAAAGTAAAATAATCCATGTAAAATGTATTTTCCTCTAGTGAGTACTAAGCTCATGTAGAAACCAGTACCTCAAGATTTCCTGCTTCTCTTTTAAAAGTCACCAAGAAATATAAATATAAAAAAATGAATCTTCTCAGAAAGAAATCTGAGGCTAAATCACTCTACTGACAAATTATTTCACTAACGTCTTGTGTTTAAGTGTCAAAACAAATACATTTCTGAATTTCCACACTTTTTATTAAGTCTTTCTCCAGAGGACCAATTCACTAGAGAGCCTCCCTGATGTCTTACTGGCATATTAGGTAATAGATAGTATAACAGATGATTAAATAGCAACAAAAATATCATTACCATTCTCTTGTGTAAACCAGTTTTTAAGCTTTAATTCACTAATGCTTTCCTGCCTTTCAACTCTAAACATGAACAGTTGTAAAACATTCATTACATTTCACAGCCTCTGAAACGAAAATATTTTTACTACATTATAGAATTCGATGACTTGCCCCATGACTTCTAGTGAGTCAGCTTTAAGTATAGAAAAATTCAAGTGGTGCCACCACCCAAATTGGGGCTCACATCTTTGTGGCCCTAACTGATAAAGAAGAAATACATTTCATGCATTTGAAATGCATCGAAGACTTACTTAAGAAATAACTACAACTGCATCATTTATATACATATATAAGATTTTTTTTTTTAACACTGTTGCGGAAAGTTTGAGAAACAAGATTTTTAAAAGTAATTCTGCCACATATAAATATACAAAAATAATGAGAGATCACCTTAACTTTTTCAAATTAAAAAAAAAATCCTATGGTCAGCTGATTTTAACTCTCTTTGTCCATCTGTACTATTTTATTTCATTTTGATATCAACCTGTTTTCCTAAACTAAAAAATAAAAAAACTAAAAACAAAACAAAAAAAGACTATTAATTCAATTTAACCAGGAACTGACTTGAGAAGTTAAGGCTTTAATTACTTTTGTTATACTTTTCAAAGTAAAAATATATCTGGTGGGAAATATTCATCAACGTGTTTGGTGAAAGGCAATGTCAAAACTAACATTACCTAAAATCAAAATTTCACCTTGCCAGATTAAATAGCTACTTACTCATTTAAAAAGACCAATATATGAATGCATAGTGAAGAAGTATCCAGGTAACTTAATTTGCAGTTTTGTGTAGTTCTGCAGATCTGTATGTCTAAAATAATAGCTTTGCATGTGTTTTGAGATGTACACATTCTTGTAAAATTTCTAGAAGGATGTACGAAAGAGTTGAGTGACTACCTTTAAGGTACAGAAAAGGAAGCTGTTTATTTTTCACTTTATGCTCCGCTCCTTCGGTAAGATGGTTGGAATTTGATACACCATCAACATAATGTTTTTTCAAAAGACTTCTAAATTTCACTTTATAGTTTAAATGATACACTCTGTAAAAACTCAGTTAAAATGTTTTTCATATTTACTTAATCTCCCAGAACTTACCTACTTTGTTGATCTCCTGGTTTGGGGACTGAATACACTCTCTCCAACTCCTCCAGAATCTTTTATTCTTATTCTAAAATTAAAATAATGTTATCCTTAATGTTTTCAATTTATTGTCTCATGTCATAAAAATAGTTGTTAGTTCACTGTCTTTGATGTTTATCTTCACTATGCTTCACTGTGTTTTCCGAAAAGTCACAAACACCAACACAGTTGCTGGAGCTGCAGTAGAGGTATCGCTTGTTCCTTGAAAATCCGAACTCTGACCAAACAGATGGTCACAAAGGACCTCTTTACAACGTCAAGTAGCTTATGAGCTCTCGACAATATTACCCACCAATGGCGATGGCAGAAAAAACATTCACGGTCATTTTAGAGTGCTTAAAATTAACTGCAAGACAAAAGCATCCATGGGAGTAAAATACTTTGCCAGCTCAAAATTATAACTGATTTAGTATAGTTTGCTCATCTCTCTGTTCTGCCATTTCAATGCTGTGGTACCTGAGTCAGTATTATCAAATACCTCTCAAAAGTGAGGCTTCACATCTGTAAAATGGGTAACTGCACCTATTCCACCTAAGTCCTACGAGCACCTCCCACAAAGGGGCTCAAAATGGCAGTACTCTTCCCCTCCCCCTCTGAAAGCTCCACTCTCCCAGGCCTCCCTCCTAAAGCGCCTCCGCCTCCGCCTCCGCCTCCGCAACCGCCCGACCCCAAGCCCCGCGGGGCTGACCGACTCGGCCTGGCCCAGCTCACCCTGGCCACCACAGAGCACCTCCTCCCTCACAGGAACGCAGCTCCACAGTGGAGAGACGGAAGAATGGTTCCCCAAACTCCAGTGTGGGACAAGTGGGAATGAGTGCAGGTCCCAAGCCACTCCCTCCATCGTCACGCCCCCAGGACTCCCCAGCAAACACACTGGAACACCAGCCTGTGCTACAGGAAAAGAAAAAGGACTCAGAGCCACCTTCTCGGATCCGTAAAGGTCCTTAGACTCACCGCGGGGAGGAGGCGGAGTAGGCGACTCCACAGCGCCGAAACAGAGAGCCACCGGCTCCTGGCTGATGCTGAGAGTCGCCCCGAGTCCCCGCCCTCCTCCGCCCCGAAGGGCTTCAGGTGCCCAGGCCGGGCGGGGCCGCCCGGAGCCTCGCGGCGCAGGCGCAGTCTGCAGGCAGCGTTCAACTGCGCGGCATCGGCCAATGGGAACTATTGCTGGGCTCGTTCGAAAGTAAACGGCGGACGGCGCGGCCCGAGGCAGGTGGCGGCAGTCAGTTCCAGGCTGGCGCCTAGTTTTCCACGCCTGCGTGCTAGGCGCAGGCCGCCTCTCGGAAGTTTGGCCTCGAAGGAGCGGCTCTCTAGCCTGTGGGGAGCTTCGGCCGGTGGGCTTCGTGAGCTGGGGTCCCGCCTGGGGCATCTGGATGGCACCGGTAGTCGGGGGGAGAGGCGGGGTCTGGCGCGGGAGGAGGCGAATCGCCGGCGGCCGACGGCTTCTGGGGAACTGTCTTTTACTTGGAGCCATCCAGGGCAGGGCCTGCTGCTATGCTGTGGAGTGCAGTGTCTTCCATCGTTGCCTCACAGACCCGCTGCTCCGGGAAGTCGCCACGCATCCTCAGGGCACACCCACACCTGTCGCCAGCGCCCTCCGCCGCTCAGCTGTTTGCTTTTGTTTACGCGTTCCGGAGACCTGACCCACCGGAGCACTGGGCTGAGCACAGGAGATGGGGTTTTGGAACACTCTTTGTACCCAACTCCGAGAGCTAGTGGGAAACCCGGGACTGGGTTGGGTGCATCTCTCCCTAGCCTTCGTCGTCTTCTCCCGTTTTTCCACTTTACTAAAGTATTGCCTAGAGATGAGGGCTGTCCAACTCAGCACTTCCAACTTCAAGTTCCTACTTCACCTCTAACTCCCTAGAGTTAGAAAACAACGTACAGCTCAGAGGTCCCTTTCCCTTTTTTCTTGAGAAACTTTATTCAGCTTTATCTCAAGACATCTCCGCTTCCCTCTCCTGTCGACCTTAAATAGGTTCAGGAAATATGATTAAGGATAAGAGTTTATTCCAGCGTAAGGCTTGAGGGTAGCCACCCAGGAGACACCAGCTCCAAATGGGGTCAGCATTCCAAAGTGAAGAAGTTAAGGTTTCACCTAGGTGGCCAGAGACAAATTTTAGCAGGATTTCATTTTCCGTAAGAGACCAGTGTATACTTACAGCTATTTGGTAGGTTACAGATTGCTACATTCCAAGAAAGGGTACTTCGTTACTCCGTGAGGACGGGTAGTGATCTCAGGGGGTTGTATCTCTGGTATGGTTTGCTCCTCCTATTTTAATTTTTTACAGAAACAAAAGGCAGACGGTGCAGATGCCTGCTTCTTGGCTCAGGCTGTAGCCACATTCCTCTCAAGGCTCAGAATAAAGTTCCAACAGCTTTAAGTTTGAATTACTTAACTTCTGATAACTAAAGTCATTTTGTTTACTAATGTGCTAAATAAAGATATGGGCTCTAGACCGGGTGCAGTGGCTCACGCCCGTAATCCCAGCACTTTCGGGAGGCCAAGACAGGTGGATCACCTGAGGTCAGGAGTTCAAGACCAGACTGGCCAACATAGTGAAACCCCGTCTCTACTAAAAATACAAAAAATTAGCCGGGCGTGGTGGCAGGCACCTGTAATCCCAGCTAGTCTGGAGGCTGGGGCAGGAGAATCGCTTGAACCTGGGAGGCAGAGGTTGCAGTGAGCCAAGATGGCACCTCTGCATTCCAGGAAAAAAAAAAAAAATCTATGGGCTCTATATACTGTATATTTATATTGCAGTACATTCAGATGCTAGGCTTTTATTCAGTAAATTACAGAAAATATTAAAGATACAAAGCAGAAAGTAAGGCAATATTAATGAGGCCTTAGTCAATCTCAGATAGCTTCACCAATTCAGCTCCTAAAAAGGTTGCTTATGAAGTGTGAATTGTAGTGATAGCTACTGTTTCATGGTGGTAAATATTCGTTTTGACTTGATGTACATTTTCTGTTTAAACATTGGAGTCATCCTGATAGACATCTTTATAATTTCCTGTCACAACAACATGTGGGACAGGCGTGGTGGCCCATGTGTGTAATTCCAACGCTTTGGGAGGCCAAAGTGGAAGAATTGCTTGAGCCCGGGAATTTGAGAGCAGTCTGGGCCACAGAGTGAGAACCCATCTCTACCGAAAATAAAATAATTAGCCGGAGTGGTGGCTCACACCTGTAGTCCCAGCTACTTGGGAGACTGAGGCAGGAGGATTGCTTGAGCCTGGGAAATCAGGGCCGCAGTGAGTTATGATCACACCACTGCACTCCAGCCTGGGCAGAAGAGTGAGACCCTGTCTCAAAACAAAAAACCCAACATATTGTGAATTATCTTTCCATAGCAGTAAATGTAGTATATTAAATTGTTGTCTTTATAAAAAGCGTAGTTGTTTCTGGAATTGAATTAATATGGATGAAAATGTTTTTGAGCTATTTTTTTCACCTGTTTTCCCCTGTGTGCTTTCTTACCTCAAAACAGTTATGTATGTAGCAAGAAAACAGAAGAACCTCACACTAGACTTACTGGCTGTTGTTTCCCAAAAAGCCTGAGCCCATGTAGAAAAACAGTATTTTAAGGAAGAGGCCGAATGCTTCAGAGAAGCAGAAAGAATTATGTTTGCCCCAAAATAGAGATGACTCGGGTCCTGGTGGGGGAAAACTATGACGCCAAAAGGGAAGGGTTATATTGGTGCCTCCAGGAAGTCTGCTTCAGAGGCCTGTGGGTTCCCAACCCTGCCAAAGATTCAAGATTTCTGTAGCCCAGCATGAATTTGGGGATTGAGGAGGCTAGGATGGTGTGGAGAACCACAGGAGCCTACAAAAACAATGGTGGCCTAAGTGGTGGCAGTCAGCCTGACATAATTGGTTTTGTGGACCATGATTAACATACTCTACAAAAGATAATATTTTCCTGGGAAGGTGGGACAGGAGAACTAATACTCAAATGCAGGAGTACATGCTTCACATCCATAAGCCTAAAACTCAGGTGATAAGTTTCTCAGCCACCCAAAAAAATGGTGGGGAAGAGGACAGTTGAGCTGCTTGGGCAGGGTCTCTTTTATTTTTTATTTTTGGAGATGGAGTCATGCTCTGTCGCCCAGGCTGGAGTGTAGTGGCACAATCTCGGCTCACTACAACTTCCGCCTCCCAGGTTCAAGCGATTCTCCTGCCTCAGCCTCCCGAGTAGCTGGAGTTACATGCACGTACCACTGTGTCGAACTAATATTTGTATTTTTAGTAGAGACGCGGTTTCACCATGTTGGCCAGACTGGTCTTGAACTCCTGACCTCAAATGATCCACTCACCTTGGCCTCCCAAAGTGCTGGGATTACAGGCTTGAGCCACCGCACCGGGCCTTACTTCCAGTAATCTTTTGATAGAATACTGGAAAGAGATAAAAGATGATAAACATTTGCAGTTATTGCCAGGTGTAGAAGAGGAGGCAATATAACATTAATTTTATGACAACTAGGCCGAGCGTGGTGGCTCACGCCTGTAATCCCAGCACTTTGGAAGATGGAGGCCGGCAGATTAGTTGAGTTCAGGAGTTTTGAGACCAGCCATGGACAGACAACATGGCAAGACTCCATCTCTACAAAGAATTTTTTTTTTTTTTTAATTATGACAACCTTCTGGTGCTCAGGTCAGACTTTTTGCTTCTAGGCATCTTCTATCTCAGTTGCTAAAACAGGAGGCATCAGTAACAGAGAAGTACTCTATAGACAAGCTAAAACACTTGATTGGGGTGTTAATAGCTACAGAGTTTAAATACTCCACTCTTGTCTCCCATCACATTAGTCTCAGCAGAATTCTAATAAAGAGAACATGTGATTTTCCAAAGTTAGAAAGCTCATGTGTTTCATTTCTAGGACTTCACAGAAAATGCACAGCTTTCATCTGGAGCCTGGAGTGCAAAGAAAACAAAAAAACACAGCAGCAGCTGGCACCATAATTATAGTGGCAATGAATCTGTGATAATGAGCTGGGAGAATCTACCTAATAGTTCATAGAAGGTCATTTTATCTGGAAAAACAGCACACAGCTATATGATGCAGCGGAGTTTATAGACTCAGAGACCTGGAGTTTGGGGGGATTTTGGAGGCAATCTAGAAAAACCTCATTTTTAGAGGAGAGAAACCTAACAACCATGTTGGTGTTGCTTTCAGCTGAGTTTGAGCTCATTTGTATATTACTACCTAAAAATACATAAATTACTACACAATTTTTAAAACTAGAACATACACAGAATTTATTTTCACACAGCCCTTTTCAGCTGTGTCTCTGAATGCACCTTGGAAGACTCCAAAGATGTGTCTGTCCTGGAGCAGTTTACCTTGTAACCACTTTTCCTTTTCTTTATTATCATTGAGTCTTTTTTATTTCAAATGCCACTAACTTTTTTGCCACCAGCTTTTTTGAGTACTCAATTTTATGGGTGGCTGTAACCTTAAGTAAATTTGGGGATTTCTTTATGTAGGCACTTAATATCCAGTTTTCTAGACTATTTTGTAATGGCTATGCATGCATCTATTTTTTTAAAATGATCCAAACATTTTGAATTTCAAGAATTTTTTCTGATAAATGATTCCTAGAATTTTTATTTTGATACAGCCTTGTGTGATTCTCTAGTCCATTTCAAACCAATATCTGTTAGTTGCCTTCTAAAATACACAGCATTACAGAGACAAAGAACACAGCTCCTATGTTCAAGTTGCTTATCTAAGCGAGCTAACATACAGATCTAGTTAAATGACAATATCAGATAAACTGCAGATTAAGGTGTACCTCCAATTGGCACAAGCAGCCCAGGCCTTATGCCACTGAGTTTCCCAGATTTCTGGTGACTGATGACCAGAAGTTGGGGCTATACCTAGATGATCTTCACACATTCTGAGATCAATAGAGGGATTTCCGGAAGAGATACAAATCACACTGGCTGCCCACCTCACAATCAGGCCCCCATTCATCATGTCTGTGCTATATCACCTTTTCAGGTGATAGTCTCCGTCTCTTGTAAT